AATGCAAAAGGAATTGGGATCGCTTGGGAGCCGAATGTCTCTCACTTGGCTGAGAATTTTGAATTGTTCACAACTTTGACTTGTATCTCTACAGCCAGAGGAAGCAGAAGAGGAGCATTTGCAACTTGAAAGGATTTGCAAGTTTGAATGTCTAACAACTATGAAATGTGAACAACTTCAAAGGCTACCAAAGGTCTTGCATTTGGTCACGTTCTTTGCGGATATAGAGATTGCCAGTGGCCAAGAATGGTTTCTGTTTTAATGAATAACCTGCCTCCAACTTGAAGAAGATTGAGGATTGAAGATTGCAAGAATTTACAATGTTTGGTGGATGAAGAAGAATATACTAGCACAACTTCACCTTTCTTTAGGTAGTGACGTTTGTTGGCTGTTTAGCTGACATATTCTTTCCAGAAGAGGATTTCCCTACCAACCTAATGTCACTTGGCAACAGAGCACCCAATATTTGTAGGTCACTACTTCAATGGGGATTGCATAGACTCAGCTCTCTCAAAAAACCTGTTCATTAATGGTGAAGAATATCTAGATGTGGTGTTGTTTCTGCAAGAGGAGATAGGAATGATGTTGCTTCCCCCTCTCAGCGATATCACAATATGTGATTTCGAAAACCTGAAATTGCTATCATTGGAGGGCTTTCAAAACCTCACGTCTCTTCAGTCTTTAGAGATCAATGATTGCTCTAAGTTCACATCTCTTCCAGAAAAAGACATGCTTCTTTTACTTTGCCATGTTCAGATTGATGATTGTCCTTTGCTAGAAGAACGGTGCGAAAGGGATAAAGGACATAGCTAATGTTCAAATCAATAATGAACAGCATTATCCCAAAGAGATTGAAATCTTGAAATTGAAAGTCAAAAGGTATTAACCATTTGAAAGATAGGCCAGATAATTGAAATCTGATTATTAATTCATTTTATTTTTGTTAGATATATAAAGATAATAGTAAGTCTGATATGTTATTGTTGATAATTAATTTACAGCCACATTTGAGGCTTGAAAGCTTCAAAGTGCAGTTGGTATATATAGCTCTATTGAAAGATCAGGTACAAGCATCTCATTTTTTTTTTTTTTCATTTCACTTGCACTTCAACATAGCATGCTCAACAATCTGCAACATTTAACCATTAAAACACTTATGCTCCTCTAACTTCAGGTGTGAATTTCTTGATTCGTCTTTTTGACTTATGAAACTGATTAAAAAGATCAAGGACGAAAGGTGAGTTGATTTTCCTCTGCTTTTATATGTCATGTACATTGAAGAATTGAAAAGCGATTGTTAGAGTATATACACAGTTTCATGGACAAAATTGTGTTTTAATTTTTGATAAGTTATATATATACTTGGCTTGTGAAATCGCTAGTTGTTTATACAGAAGCATATTTGTTTGGATTTCAGAAGATTGCCATTTTCTTAAAGAAAATTTAAGTCTCTCTCTCCTTCTATGTTATCAATTTTCTCTTTAAGTGATTAAACCATACCAATTATGCTTCCATTGAGTATGTTGAACAGTGAACTACTTTCTTTTCTTTTAGTATTTTAATGTTCATGTTTAGTTCTTTGCTTTTTGAGTTTATAAAGAGAATGTAGAGGAAGAGAATAAATTTCATCGATAAAAGTCTAATTTTATGTTGGATTTTCCATCTCAGAGGACTGTGTCCCCACCAACTAAATGTTACTTTGGATCTCTGCTGTTAAAATCTGTATACCATTATCACATTGGGGAGTGCACATACAAATCTGCCATGGACAACTTCCCATTGGTGATAATGATGCTGCCGGCCACCTTTCAAACTTTCCTTGTCATCAAGAAGTCCCCTAATTTGGAATACCAGCACTGCAAGAGCTTTCAGAACCTCTCTTTGCTGAAAGATTTTAATACTTAATTGCCTCAATCTAGAAAAATGGCATAAAGATGAAGTAGTCAAAGATATCTCCTGTGCCTCATGTATTAATAAGAGATTACTTATAAGCCAGAGAGGAAAACTAGTTGTTTTTCGTAGAAAAGGAGTGAAAAAAGCAGAATATACCATGCTTGTAAATTCAATCCTAGGTATGTCAATGGGAAAATCCTCCCTCCTTTTCCTCTTTGAACAATTAATTAAAACTTGTATGATCACCAAGTGTTGATTTACTTGTACATACAGAAGTCTGAACATGATTATGAAACACCAAGGATGAATTCAGCCTCCAGATCTAATTAATGGCCATAAAATCAATGCAAGGCAGAGGTGAGCTTTTATATATTGGACTACATTAAGATAATATGCCTCACCAATGGAAACAATCCCTCCTTCTAAATGATCTATGCATGTATAATTCTATTTTTGTATTGAACTTCCATTAGCAGTCACATAACATTAATTCCACGCCCATGGAATATTACTTATTAGCCGCAGAAGGGAAAAATGGTAAGAATCAGAGAAACTACCATGCTTGTAGATATTTGGTATGTCAATTGGGAAAATTCTCCCTTTCTTTTTACACTTTGATAATAATTAATTAAATTTTTTATGCTAACCAAGTTTTATTCTAGTTGTACATGCAGAAATTTGAGCATCAGTAAATTTAACCTCCAGTTGTAATCTATTGACTATATAATCAATTCAAAGCAGAGGTGAGCTTTATTAGGGTACCTTAAGATAATATGCCTCACCAACGGAACATCCCTTATGCTAAATAACCTTATGCATATCTACTCCAAAGTTTCAGGTTGGAGCTACTAATTACTCATCTTCAATCTCCATAGTGTGACCCTCATTTGCAATAGGTTTAAGCAGATGATCCCCAATTGAAAGTACATTGCATTTCTCATGTAACGTGTAGAATTATTTTTTCACACAACTGTTGTACAACTTGGCACACAGAGATTCAAAGAGCTTATGTAACAGCTTCCGTGGCTCTTTATGCCAAGCTTTTTTTGCTTCTAATATTACACATTTAACATACCCTGCATGTTGGTTTTTCAGCCTTCAGCAATCTAGCTTCTCTGTCACTGGGCTGTGGCCATGCTTAAAATTTCTGCAGATCAAAGCACTTTTTTCCTTTTATTGGGTATGTATAGTGTATGCCGTCATTTTGTATAATCAGTAATGTTCTTTGGCTTTTCAGAAGGTGCTTGTCTGTGTCATCCCTGTGCCAAAAAGGAGTGTTACAATGGTAGATGGTAGTTTTGATGCAAGATGTTCTACAAATGTTTTACCTCTGTTGGTGCCTCATCCTTAGTCCCACGTAAGTCTCATGAATGGCTGGGAATAGCTGTTATTTTATTGTTTTTTTTCAAGAATGGCAACATGATGTCATAGCCTTGCCCCTGAGGGTTCCACATTCTGAAGCCCTCCCTTCATGAAACTCCCTGCATGGTATTACCAGTGCATAAAAGATATTAAAAATATTATAAATGTTTGTGTAAATTGTTTGACCAGGTGCCACAACCAAAGAAGCTGAATGTCCAGTTTCCTACCAGTTAGTGTCAATTTTTTTATATTAATAGTTCTGTTTTTTCTTCTTGGTATTTTGTATACATTCATTAATATTGGGAATTTGGACCTATGCATTCTTTCAACCCGATATTTTTTTGTAAAAGAAATGCCAATATTGTACAAAGAGGATTAAGTTTATCTCATGAGCAAGGATAACGGATGTCGGCATGATAACTTGTCAAGTCACCATTATAAAATTCTTGAAAGCATTGTGATTTGCAACCAGGCTGCCATTGTTGGCATTTTTGTTATTGTGGATTATGGTGATGATTAAACTCATAATTTTGGCAGCTTTTTCTAACAGGGTGCTCATTATCCATCATTTTATGAAGCAATTGATGTGTTGTGCAACAGCTACTGAGGCAAGAGTAAAGTAGAATGGATTGTTGTGACAAATTATGACCTGGTACTACCTTGGAGTTTTCTACAGCACTAATTCATGGGATATAAAAAGCTGATGAAGTCTCTAGGTCACTTGTACCTACTTTCATAGCATTATTTTCGTTATACATTCTTTTAGGGGAAATGAAAAGGGAGGTGAGAGTGGGGATGCTAATTGGTATATCAATAAAGTTTTTCACTGTTTGCTAAAGGATACTTATTTGTATTCAGGTGATGTGTCCTAACTAGGTAATGGTTATGCAATCAGGGAGCTAATCTCTAAGATCCAAACGTAGAAATTCAATTATAGCCTCCTGGTGAGATTTTGGCTTTGCTTTATGATTTTTACTTCATCGTTTCATATAATAGTTCACACATGTCTGTCTTATTTCTAAAGCATATCTCCAATTATATTTACTTGCATCTAGTTGATGTCGGCAGAATTTTAGAACTCATCTGAGTTTCAAAAATGTACCAGTTTTAACTATGTCTGACTATACACAATAAATAATGAGATAGCACAATAGGGGATTCTTGGAAGAGTGAAGTATACTTTAGACTAATTATTGTTGTCATCAAATGTCTAAAAATATTTGATTTTTTTACTTTTTGTTTATAGCTCCTGAGAAACGGAAATGAGTGCCAATAGTAAAATCACCTCATATTTGCAGAACCTGAGGTCTCTCAGTTGGGAAGGTGGGCAACACCTCACTTCAGTTCGCTTTCTATAGATAACTGTTAATTAAATTTTAATTTTAATACTTGAAAATGCAGGATGATAAGAAGTTATTGACCTTTCTTGGGAAGTAGATTGAATTCTGCTTTGGCTTTGTAGGGATCATTTGCGTGCTTTTTGCTGCCACTGCCACCACTGCTGCTGCTACTTTCCCTTTTTTTTCTTAGGTTACTCAGGTCTCTCTTATTTTGCTATGTAATGTAATTGTACGTAATTGATTCATTACATCATAAGTCCTGGAAGAGTCATGTCTAAAATGTAACCACAAGAATATTTTGGTGATGGCAGGTTCAGATACTCAGGTTCAAATTTCAATTTCCTTGCAGTTTCGGTGCAAGTTACTTTCTCCGATGATGCTATTCTGGTCTCATCCCCTCAGCATCAGATTCCTCTTGCAATCCTTGTTGGCCATTTCTGGATTACTCTGGTGGTTTGCTTCCTATTCTGCTGCTTCTCCATGGCTGGTAAGATAAGAGGCTGGCTTTAATGCGAAAAGGAGGTGGGTGGATGAGATTATTTTTCTTTGTAAGCTTTGTTCTTTGCATTGGTGTAGAGCTTTGGCTGATGGCATCCTGTTTTCAGGCTAAGATTCTGTGACTTGCTCCCCTGCCTTCTCCAGTAACATCTCTCGGGACCTGCTGACTGTGGTTGAGTGTTAAGAAATTCCTCTGGCTCTGTTCTAGCTTTGTTTTCTGGCCAAATGGGTGTGGTAGACTAATGTTGCTGAAATATAATACTAGATTTGCTTTGAAAATATTCTCCAAGACCAGTTGGAAAGGGAAAAAGGTGCTGGTGGTTGAATCAGATTCGACGGCAATTGTGCCTTGGGTGAAGAAGATTGCAGATTGCCCATGGAATTTGTGTGTTACCTTCAATTAGATTGATCCACATATTGCTGACATTGGTGAAGTCTACTTTGGTAATATCTGTTGGGAAGTTAATGGCCTTGCTCACTCTTTAGTGTGTAGAACTGATATGTTCATGGGTTGGTGGTTCAGCAGGCTGTTATTTCATCTCCACCCTTTGGGCATCATTGTACTAGGCCTGTTATTAGAGGTTTTATGGTGTGTATATTTTCACTCTTTTGGGTGTTATTTTAGTCCAGCGAGACTGATTGTTATCCGTCTCCCAGGTGTAGTATTTTTCTTTCAGCCTTCACTAACATCTCCCTCAACAGAGATGCAAAAATTGGCATAGCAAACCATTCTATGAAGCATATTGCCCTGTCAAATTTATCATTTGTTGATTGTCAATGGCATCCAGAAGAATTGAACAGTTGTTTGATGCCGTATCATAAGTAAGATTCAATGTTTGTATTTATACAATTTCTGCAACTGTATATGCAGGGTTGAAGGTTCAACCGAAAATGACCTGAATTTTACTTAATTAAAAAAGGCCAAATAAATGTCTTTACAGTGGTTACTAAGGATATATTATAGTTGTTGCCCCAGTGGTCACAAAAACTGAGTCCTACATGAAGGAAAGTTCATGGTGGATAAGGCAGTTTAGGGTTGGTGCCAAACAAATTGTTTAGAGGATCTAATCTAACAACAACAATCCAATATATAGGAACAAATCCTGCCGCCCCAAGAATAATCTGTAGATCACAAGAGTCCAGAACTTTACTAATGAGTTTTTATACTATAAACATTGATTGCATGGTTCATTCTTTAGGAACGAAAGAAACCCAATGCTTACACAAGAAAGCACCTGGAGAAGCTTGTGTTTGGTTTGTTTGGGATTAGCTGATGGATGCAATTGAAGCTCAGCAAGGCAGCAAATCAGGTTTTTGCTCTGTCCCTTCTCTTTGCCTCTTTAGATGCATAAAAGTTAACAGAAATAATTTAGAAACTTTCTTCTTTCCCTATGTAGAAAGGGTGGGAGAGGAAGTTGAATTTGTACAAGGATAAAGCTAAGAGCCTAAGGCAACCTCTCCATTCTGCAGCCCTCTTTCCCAAACCAACAAAAAATAGTAAAAGTTGAATGTCAAACTGATCTTTCTCTTGCTTTGAATTTCAGATCTTCTGATAGTCCCTTTTATGAACCTGACACTGTAGGATCAAATACTTAACAGGCACTGTCTCATATGATTTATAGCCCAAACTAGAATTTTCACTCTCTTTTTCTGTGGTTGAAAAAGATTAATTGCACAAACAGTTAAGTTTTCACACCAGTTGGGTTCCTATCCTCAAGTTACAGTATCTAGGATATATGATACCATATCTGTCAGCCATAAGATTAAGGCCTAGAATTTTCACTACTGCAGCAATGAAATACATATGTCCACTTTCGCTTTTAACGTGTTAATAAACTTAAGACATACCAAAGCACCCTTCATTTTGTCTTAAAACCAATTCAGCAAATCATCTCTTATGGCATGATGTATAATTAACGTGCCATGCCATTTCAGAAATTGGAACACTTCTTCCAGAGGATGCTTCCACAGCCGCTGATCAAGTTTCAATGTTCATGCCCGATAAGCGCTGGAAATGGTGGGTTCTTGTGGTACTCAACATTGGCTTTCTCTTGCTTGGTCAATCCGTTGCTGTTCTTCTAGGCGAATTCTATTTCAAACATGGACACAGTAAATGGATGGGAGCACTTGTGCAAACAGCTGGATTTCCAGTCCTCTTTCTCCCACTTGTATATTTTCCTTCCCCTCAAAACTTGCCAAGTACCTGCAACAACACAAGCCAGCCTTCACTTCTCACTCTTATTTTGGTTTACTTTTCTCTTGGCTGTCTACCAGCTATAGACAACTTCTTGTATTCAGTAGGCCTTTGGTCTCTTCCTATTTCAACTTATTCTCTCATTTGCGCCAGCCAATTGGTATTTAACGCGATATTTTCCTTAGTTATCAATTCGGAAAAACTCACAATCCTAATATTGAAGTCGGTAACCCTTCTAACCATATCAGCTTCATTGATTGCAGTTCATCCTGATTCTTCTGAACGTGAAGCTGAGAAACATTCAGGAGGAAAGAAAGAACGTGTCATTGGTATCTTATGCACTGTTGGTGCTTCAGCAGCCTACGCTTTATTGCTTTCCCTTACACAATTTTGCTTCGAAAAAGTACTGAAGAAGGAATCATTTTCTGTTGTATTCGAAATGCAAGTCTACACTTCTTTGGTTTCTACTTTTGTTTGCATAGCGGGATTGTTTGCAAGTTCAGAATGGAAGAAGCTAAATTCTGAGATGGAGACATTTAAAGGGACATTTAAAAATGGGAGGGTGCTTTATGTCCTGAGTTTGGTTGGAGCAGCTTTAGCTTGGCAGATTTGTACGGTAGGAGTTGTAGGACTAATCTTTCTGGTGTCTTCTCTCTTCTCCAATTTTGTTAGTATGCTGTGTCTGCCATTTGTTCCTGTGGTCGGTGTGCTGTTTTGTCATGAAAAAATGGATGGCATCAAGGTATTGGCCATGTTGTTGACAATTTGGGGTTTTGCTTCTTATCTCTACCAGCAATACCTTGATGATCATAAGCCAAAGGACAAAGAAACTGGTCCAACTCCAGGAATTCAAGAGTCCAAGCTTGTCTGACCTGGAATTTTAGTAAAAAGAGTCAGTGAACTGAAAAGAGCATTATGAGGTTGAAATCACTTTTTGTTTATTAAAAGCTCCTGCTGAATGTATCTACAAGCTTCATATTACAACTTGTCTTGAAATTTTTAATTTGGAATTTCAGTTTTTTGGTTGTAAATATTCCTGTCAACTGTCACAGAAACTTAAACAATATTATTTATTTCAGCAAAATTTTATTTAATTTTACCTAATTTTAACTGCTTTTTTTTTTGTTTCAAACCTACCATTTGCATGAACACCATAGAAGCAGATGCAGTGTGAAGGGAGATTTTGGACTTTGATGGATGATTCGATAAAAAGTGCCTAACTATCTTTGCCTTCACAGCTGTGTGCATTTACTTTGCTTTATCCAAAAAAGATGTGGATGCCTCATTGGCTTAAAGAAATTCCCAACCCCCACATAAATAGAAAAGGACAGGTGGTGGATGCTTCATGGCGACAGCATACACATTTACATGTCAACTTAATCATTCTTCCATACTCAAACCTTTTCTTTGATCTTAGCTTTACAAGTGGAACTATTTGAGTCATTATGAGAATTAACATCAAAATTAAGAAGAAATTTTTTTTTAGGTGGTATCACCTTATTATGAGTAGACATGACAATTTTATATACAACATGATAATATGATATTAATACAGTATAAATTTAAGTGAGTTTGAGTTTAAGTCAAACTTGTTTCGTATTATCGTATATTAATTGTATTGACATAGTTAAGACACAAAACTCGCTTAATCCGTCTAAGATATGTTTAAGATATAATTAGTCAATCGTGTTATTGTGTACCCATATAACCTATTACTCATTTTTTTAATCATGTTCACATGTTATGTAAACACGTTTAATACATGGTTAAGACTAATTTACTAATCTATATAACTACTAATATTGTTATAATGATTAAAATTTATTGATATTGAATTTTATTATATTTAATAAATATTATGATATTTATAATTTTTTGTGATAAATTTGAATAATATAATCATATATTATTTATACATATTTCAATTTAATCTTTTTAATCTTGTTAATCATATCAATCATGTAAACAGATCATAAATCGTATAAATTTTAATTAAATTAATAGTGTTGTGTAGTATAAAATTTAACTCGACACATTTAATAAATATATTAGTTATGTCGTATCATGTTACACGTTTATTAAATGTATCTATGAATATGTTTAAAATTTTAACACAATTAATTAGTTGTGTCGTGTTTGTATTTATCAGTATAACTCTTAATATCTTATGTTTACACAACATTATTAAGAAATGAATAGACAAATTGTTAGATCTAATTATAAGTAGTTAGAATTTTGTAAGGGTGAGCAAATGGGTGGATTAAATGGTTTGGTCTGTCATATCTAAGGACCAAATGAATCAAACATTTTAGAAAACCAACCAAAAAATATAAAAGAATACCAAACTGACCAAATATAAATTTGATTCAATCAGTTCAATTTTGAATCAATAGACTAAAATTTTATCACTTTTTTTTTATAAATTACAATATTAAAACTTATAAACTTCATTCATAATTATAAAATATATAAATAAATTAAATATAAAAACTAAAGTGATAACTAATAAAGTTATTAAGTGTACTCATATAAATAAAGTATATTATAAATTATAATAATACTTATGTGTAAATTAAATATATTTGTATATAATATATTATTTTATTTTATATATATAAAATTAATAATACAACTTATATATTATAATATTTTAATTTTCACATCCAAATTTGTATAAATAATAACTAATTATAAATAATATGTTATAAAAACTAAAGTGATAACTAATAAAATTATTAAGTGTAATCATATAAATAAAATCTATTATAAGTTGTAGTAATGCTTATGTACAAATTAAATATATGTATATATAATATATTACTTTATTATATATATAACATTAATGACACAATTTATATGTTATAATGTTTTATATTAAAATTTGTATAAATAATAACTAATTATAAACAATATGTTATAAAAACTAAAGTGATAATTAATAAAGTTATTAAGTGTAATCATATAAATAAAATTTATTATAAGTTATAGTAATATTTATGTATAAATTAAATATATATAACATATTTATACAATTTATATATATCCATAATATTTTATATTACCACATTACTAAGACATAATAATTATAACATAATAATATATAAGATATTTACTATCATATATTATAATATTAACGTATAAATTATATCATTTAAAATATATAATTTATAATTTCATATTAATGTAAATCTATAAATATATATATAGTTAATATTAATTTGCTATGATTATGATTTGTCTATGTACATATAATAAATTAATATATTTTAAGTATATTATTAATTAAATTTACTATTAATTCTTCATAATATATATATAAATATTTTTATATATTAATATATATAATATATATAAATTAATTAATATTTTAGATGAATTAATTTAAAAATTTTAAAATAAAAATCTAATTGAACCAAATATTTTGACCAAACAACCCAATAGATTAATTACATTGAACTATTTTACTTAAATTACATTTAATTTAAATGAATAATTATTCGAATTTGATTTTAATCACTCCTGAATTTCGTACAAAGGGATGCCCCGGTGGAAAGGCTCAATGACTAAAGTAACAGTAGTAGGCAACCATCTTTACCCGTGAACCATAAATGATTTAGACACGTGTCATCGTAATGACACCGACCGCCACATATGCACATGACGTGGCCCCCCAAAATTCACGAGGAAATAGCCGCAGCTCCACCCGAAGGTGGAGTTGACACGCGCCAAAACTTAAAAATGTCAAAGAAAGCATACAGACATAAAGTGAGTTTGGTCGTTTCTCAGATATACGCTGACCTGTGTGAAAATGTTGAATGAATAAATGAACAGTGTCTTCAAGCTAGCTGTTTTCTGTTCACTTTTTGGTTGTCTGTTTTACTTTCGTTTCCGGGTCCAACTGGTATTCCATTTAGAAGATTGTTCAAGCTTCTAAGCTCCAAGATTTCTGCTTCTTTACGTATCAGGAGTCTTTCTGGCAATTGGCAAGTTAGTGTTAGTTCACATTTTCCATCTTTGTATCATCACATTTCACTTTTATTTTTCCTAGTTTAATAAATGATTTATAGCTAGATAATGGTTTGTTGATTCTTTGTGCTAGGTTCAGAGCTCCATTGGATTTTTCATTGCCATGTTCCAAATGTGCTGTCTTCTAGCTTTTTGTTATGTTTGAAAAGATAGGTGAGAGAGAGAGTTTTCGAGAGCAATAATTCAAAGTTACTGTGTACGAGTTGATTTGAAAGTTTGGTAGCCAGCTAGCTCCTAATAATTGGGAGATGTTGCTGGTGAAGATGCATTTGGATGGTTGAACTGGGATTTTTAGTCTGAAACTCATTTTAGCTTCTTAATGCACCTTGGTTACTGTCTATGGTGGGTTTCAAAAATTAAGGTTATAAGTTCCAACAGTAGTGTGTGCTTTAAGAAATGTGTCAATGGTAGCTATATGTTGTTTGTTCCCTGATCCTGCTGACAAAATTTCTATTCTGTTTAGATGATTGGCATCTCAAGAGAAGTGACTGTTACTTGTATGATGCTAATCCAAACAATTTTCAAGTTGGTTAATTCCCACCTTGCTTTGCAGAAATAAATGGCAAATGATCTGGGCATAGCATTTTACATCACCATATGCTGCATTGCCTTTATTATATCGAAGACCATTCTTTGGATTCTGCTTTATAAGCGATGGAAAAGAAAGAAGATGATTTATGAGGACGGTTTCTCAGGTATTGAACCTTCTAAATGATTGACTTTCTTTTCCTATAATTTGACTTCTGATGAAGGCAAAAATGATGCTTTTCTAACTTGGTAGCTTCTGGCATATGCATGAATGCAGGAGGGAAGATGGTGATGTTTAGGTCTCCAGTGTTGCAGTCTCTCTCATCTGATGTGTTATTGAAGAAGACATTGAAGTTAAGCAACAAAGACATCATTGGTGCTGGAGGGTATGGTACAGTTTACAAACTAGTGATAAATGATACCATGGCCTTTGCTGTGAAAAGGCTAAATAGAGGAAGTGAAGATAGAGATAAAGGATTTGAGAGAGAATTGGAGGCAATGGGGGATATCAAGCACCGCAACATTGTAACTCTTTACGGATACTACAGCGCCCCTCACTACAATCTTCTGATATATGAGCTAATGCCTAATGGAAGTTTGGATGCTTTTCTGCGTGGTATGCACATTTTTTCTTCAAATACTGGTTTTATCTTCAAGTTTTCAGCATCCATATTTGTCAAAGTTAAGAGGGTCTATAATTTTTCCTCTTTTTTTTGAAGAAAAGAGGACAAAATTTCAAAACTATCAAAATTCCAGAAAGTAGGATTTTGTTGGAAGTTAAAAGATCAGACTTGATGCCCGAAGCACAAGATCAAAAGTTGATGATAAATTAAACTGTGATGCAGGGACATCGATGGACAGTAAGGTTTTGGATTGGCCAACAAGATATAAAATAGCATTAGGTGCTGCAAGAGGAATAGCATACCTTCACCATGATTGTATCCCTCATATAATCCACAGAGATATCAAGTCAAGCAATATATTACTGGATCAGAACATGGAGGCTCGAGTCTCAGATTTCGGACTTGCCACATTGATGGAGCCAGACAAGACTCATGTTTCAACATTTGTGGCTGGTACCTTTGGATATTTAGCGCCAGGTATGATGAACAAAATTATAGTCATTCTTTTCATCTAGTTTTTGAATGTTTAACAACTAACCTTTGTTCCTCTGCAGAATATTTCGATACAGGAAGAGCAACAGCAAAGGGCGATGTTTACAGCTTTGGAGTTGTCTTACTAGAGCTTTTAACAGGAAAAAGGCCAACGGATGAAGCATTTCTGGAGGAGGGAACAAAGCTTGTTACATGGGTAAGCTCTCCAATATCATGAAGATTTAGTTTAACATAATTGTCCATTACTTGATAATGCCTACCTCCATTTAAATGTCCAATAAACTGATGAAATCATCTCTTCCGGTCATTGGTTAAAAAGAGTTCATAAAATTCTTGTTATTTTTATCTGTATGCTACTCATCAGAGGCATTTTCTTCCGTGTCAACTGTCAAGTACATATTGGCTAAAGATTCATAGGAAATAGTTGTAAGAGTTTCTGATGTTCTGTTTCATTACCATCTTGAACAGGTAAAGGGAGTTGTTGAAGAAAGGAGGGAAGAATATGTGCTTGACAGTAGCTTGGGTTCTTGTCCTGTGGATGAGATTAACAATACTTTCAACGTAGCATTAATGTGCCTTGAGACAGATCCCTCCATGAGGCCTACAATGGCTGAGGTTGTTAAGATGCTGGAGCAGATAAAGTCGGAGAAAGCTGTGAATGATTGTTAACCTCACATTCTGTAGCCATCCAAAAACTCCTGCACATACAACATTTTTATCCTCTTTACCCTCTTTTTGGTTGAATAATAGTAAACAACTTCTTGTTGTTCGTAAGTGTGGTGGGACTTAAACAAGCTCTGATGCCGCTCCTGCCTTAACAACCAAGTCTCAGTCAAGAGTTTGCCCCAAAAATTTGGGGAAGAGAGAGAGAGAATCAACTTTCCCTGGAAGAAATGCAATGATTATATATCAAATTTGACATGACCAAATTTGTTACCCATGCTGCTATTTGGGTCACCGGAATGAAAACATGATAAGATATAAGTTGCCAAAGTCTTGGCGTGGCTGGGAACCTAGTAGGTTCAGTTTGTTCGAATGTTCTATCAGAAAGCAGAACCAAAATGAATTATGAACGATTTGGCCTCTCATGGCCACTCTGCCACAAGAGAGTCTGCTCGTGTCATGAGAATTTTAGTTCTTAAGATATGGGTGACTGCTCCTGATTATGAGGATTGTATCAAGGTCCTTTATCTTTAATGAAGCAGCAGTCCTATTGTTCCTGTTTCTGGATATCTGAGACAGTCTTCTAGCAACAATGAGGGCTGCGGCTTTGCCCATGTCATGTAGCCAAAATGGTTTGAAATTGGAAACTCATGCCAACGAATGAAATATATGCAAAGAAGCCTAGATTTACAAGTGCATACATAGTTGCAACAAGATTTTACATTGACTTTGTTCAGTTAAAGGTACATACAAGAAGTGAGCCGCGCTAACAGTCTAAATGAAATGAAAACTTGTGGAAACTTACTCAATTGTATTTACTTGAGAATGGAGGCCAGCCCATTGGCAACTGAGGTTTTCAATGAAGGAGAAACTGGAGCATCTCCAAAAAATACATCAAAAAGGGCTGAAGCTACATTGGCAGACTCAATTGTAGCATCAGTACTAGTGGGCATTCCATCTGATGAGACAGCCACCTGAAAGACAAAAATGGTGAGGGATAAAAGAGAAGAAACCAGACGGTCGTTGATAAACATCATGGCTAAATGCTTTACTCCTTAACCATGTGAAGAAAGAAAGTTTAGCAGTTTTAAGTCACACTCACAAGCATTTTGGATGGATCCGGCCAAGTCAAAAAGATGAAAGTTCCTTTATTAAGAGGTCGTCCTTGGAAAATACTACGAAATGTGGAGAGAGCAGATTGATCAACTGGAGTTGGTGCCTTAATTCTAGGGGAGATGGCTTCATCCAAAGCATCCCAGAAAGTTTTACCATCAACATCTCTCACCAGGACAATCTGTAACGATTTCTCCAGAGGAACTGCACTTAACAAAATTAATTGGCAACCTTAAAATTGTCTCTTTCCTCTTTCCATAACTATCTATATATTAAAGACCTAGAACAATATATCATTATTACCCCCAAAGATTGACTTGAACAAGGACAAATCATCTTGAATTTGTGAAGCTGACTGTCCCTTCCAGGCATCCAATTTACTTAAGATGGATTGATTGACATATAGCCCCGCTGCATACACCTTAACACCAATGATTGCAAAAACTTTCTCCCTGTACCCTGGGATCATGAGGAAGCTGAAGTGACAGTTGTATAAAGCATTCCATTAAAGGGATACTACTAATTGCACTCAACTGAGTAATGCTTTGTCAAATGCAAAGATTGTTTTGTTTGTACAACTGCAGAATTATTCAAAGGCCATTATTAGAAATCACATGCATCACTAACATAGTACACCATAATCAATAAATAGTTCACAACTTTACAAAAACGAGTATGTTAACTGCTATTTCCAAGTAATAACTTCTGACAAAAATCTTCCCAGCCATTCCACATAGTCGAGAGAGTCAAAGAAAAACTTTCTTTTTTCAATATCTAAATTACTGGAGTATATACCATAAAGCTTCTCCTGTCAGAGGAAAGAGTATCAATATCCTAACTACCCAGAATTTCATGCAATGTTTCTCTCCAAGTTCAATAGTGCATTTCCTCCAGGTAGCCCAGAACTTTGAAGGGTATGCCGATGAAAGCTACGTGATAATAATTACTAATGATGATTATAAGTTTCAAAAAGAAAGATAAGTAGAAGCCCTAACTTGTTTGATTCTCCTTTAGTTTTCCTAATCGTACAATGTTTGTATGACTAGTACTGCTCATAGATATGCTGGCCTCTGTTACTTTAGCAACTGACCTGTTCCAAGCAAAGACAATGAACTTGAGCAACCAGGCAAACTTAAGGATGTCTGAAATTTAACTTTGGTTGCAGGTTCCTCAGTGTAATCTGCAGCTCCTACTGCACATAGATAAAAGGAGAAACGATATTAGGGTCTTACTTTTAAGGAAATAAATGCAATGGTACAAGCTAAACTGTTTTCACATACTTCCAGCTATGTCATATTCTTGGAAACATGGAGAAATCAGCCATTACAGTTTATAAAACTAGCATATCAACTAATTTCAATATTAGAATAAAAAAGGATAATTCATATATAGCCACCCTTGCATCACAGCTAATATATATCACCTCCATTGAATTTTGCCTGTTTAAAAGAATGAAATCTTCAATATTGCTTATGTTGCTTTATTATCATTTTGCATCAATCTTCTCCATATCAAGCCAATATGGCAGTCATCCCACTTAACCTTTAGAGCACAAAAAAATAACCATCTTCCTCAAGACATATCCAGTATGACCAAGGTGCTATAGGATTTTGAAAGTGTACATCTCATCTCAAAGAAGAATATAGCTGGAAAACTTCAACATTCCCTAATTTGCTAAGCCTTTAGCAAATTACAAGAAAAATGCAGAATTTCACCTTTTGTACACGATGCAACTATACCTTAATCTATAATCATTTCATTGTGGCCATTAATTGGCTTATGGATTATACTTAAATTCTATCAGCCTGAAAATATTTGCATATTAATGAAAGCTTAAGCAATTAAAGAATGGTTGAACTTATCAGGAGTAATATTGATAAACACGGGACTTCAATTCATAATTAAGAAAATTTTTCATTTTGTCTATCAAATGCCAAGTTTTGACAGTTCTTATCTACATTATAGATGATTATTTCCTTTTACTTTTTGGAATTCGTTGGGGCCAGTGTGCACAATATGGCTGAAAATTATCAAATTGTCCAGCATCTCTTTCTGCCAAGAAGTTAAGATTTCCTAATTGTTAATTTATGCTGAAATCGAAAACCATGATCATTTGCTTATGAGAAATAGCCAGTCATATTAATATATTCCTTGTAGCTTACCAAATTTTCCAAAATTGTGTCAGAATCTTCATTCTTCAACTAAACAAAATCTAGTGATACTAATCTTCTTAACATCATTGGTTTCATCCCAGATACCTACGGCCACTATGCAAATGAAATTATCCTCAATACCAAGGAGATATAACATGCCAGCAAAACTCAAAAAATTTGAGCCTACCTAGCCAATATATTAAACTAAAAATTGAAAAAACAAGCCAGGGGGTTATCAAAAATATCAATTAGCAAAAAATACAGCATTAAATTCTACTTTACTCTCATAAAAAAAAACATATCAAGCTCCACATTGTTCCTATAATGATTCCCAACAAAACAATTTGAATGCACATAAAGGGGAAAAAAAACCCTCCAACTCCAGGTTTCCATCAGCAAATTGAAAACTTTTCTCATTCAGTTTAATAAACAGGCTGACAAGAAAAAACATGCGGATAATTTACCTGAAGAAGATGAAGCAGAAGCTTTCAAAGTGAAATGGGGTTCAGTTACTTTGTTGTTCTGAGGAGAGAAATGAGATGAAAGAGACAGAGAGTGAGATTTGCGAAATAAAAGACATGGGTGTGAACGTTTTCTGGGAAAGTTGCTTCTTCGATTGGGGTTCAGAAGTTGAGAAGGAATGCACATTGGTGTGGAAATGGATCCCAGTCCACCCATCTTTCCAGTTTTTGTGTTGTTTTGCAAGTTAAAACCTCCACTTCCAGGACCTCAAAAGGGAAAATGTTCAAGGAAACAGAAGTTATACAGTTAAAAGCCTGTTGGAGTTGTTTGTCTTTGCGCTTTTATACTTGATTAGTTGTTCTGACTTGTCAGCCATTTCTAGGTTAAAAAAAATACTTTGTCTATTTTTTATATTTTCTCTAGAGAATTATAAACGTTATATATTTTCAATTAAAAATACGTATCTTTTAAATAAAAAATTTTTATAAATATAAATCATTTCATTTCTAACTGATACTTAGAATTTTGAATCAACGTTCTATTCTATTGTTATTTCTTCATGTTATGTTGTCTGAATTTTAAAGACCAATGTTAAGAGTCCAACCATCATCTCAAAATGACATAGTTATAAATAATTATAACTTTACAAATATTTATTTCATGTGTCTAGTAGATAATAATTCTTCTCATTTAGTATTTTCGTTTTTCTTTTACTATTTTTTATTTCTCTCTAGAGGTGGGCTTAAGCTTGATGTTATAAGATGTTAATAGACAAGGTACCTATTATTTTTTTTAAGTATTTTATCTCGTACTTTATTACTTGATAGAGCACTCAAATCATTATAGTATTTATATTGCTAAAGATAAAACTAAAATCCTTAGATCAAGGCTTGGCTATTATGCGAAATCAACTAATCTCTTCTTAGCATAGAAACAAATGCCATTGATTTTTGTGCTTCAGCAACGGTAGCAACGGCTCGACCACAAAGCAAAGAAAAAGTAACGATACAAAGATAAAACGGCAAGACATAATGCCGTGTCACTCTTAGCTGCTTCTAATCTTCATTATTTAGCAAACTCCAAAACAGAGAAAAGATTAAATCTTTAACAGCACTGTTGGCTTCTGGACAATTTTTAGTGGCCTCGACATATCAGTATTTGAGCAAACAAAATCTAGAAAATTTGGGTAACAATTCTGGGAAATAGCAACTAGCATGGAGGTGGAACGAACCAGAAAGAATATGGTCGGTTTTGGTACAATGCCTCCATGAAAGGGTTCTTACAAATAAAGAACGTCGTCGTCGTCGTCATCTTTCAAATGATGGATCATGCAGACAATGCCATATGGAGGAAGAATAGGTGCTTCATGTCCTTCGAGATTGCCCTTTAGCTAATGTGATTTGACTAAGACTTCTACAGCCGGAGTCTATTAACTCATTTTATGGATTTTCTCTGCCAGATTCGTTGATGTCTAACTTGAGTTATTCAAAAAAGCATGAGAATGACATTCCTTGGGCTATAATTTTTGGAGTAACAGTTTCGTTTTCACTGAATATATATATATATATATATATATATATATATATATATATGAGAATCAATCTGTCAATATAAAATAGCTGGGTTTTGATAATTTGTCATAATGAATTTCAAGGATTTGGAGATAGGGGACGTACACCTAGTAACCATGTGGAAGTCTTAGCCTTCGGATTGGATTGCATTAAATAGGGATGAAGCGTTTTGGAGTTCCATAAACCAAGCAGAGACCAGAGGTGTTCTTAAAGATTCAAGTGGACAATGGAAGGGTGGTTATGCTATGTGTCACAGTGTATACCAATTCTTGTAAGATATTATTCGTTTTGATCTTCTAGATTCACTGTTTTGTCTCAAAAAAAGTACTTCATAGGTTAAAGGTTGTGTAAACCTTCATATGCTCAGAATTATTCTAGTAGGTTGAATGTTGTGTGAACTTTCGTATGTCCATAATCACTTTAGTACATAGTCAATGTGAGATTCATAACTTCTCTCTCTAAGACCATAACATCCACCTTACTCTCCATTAGGAGTTTGTGCTCGATGTGGGACTTTATGACTTTCCTCACTAGGAGTATTATCTCAATGATGTAGGATTCACGTTCATGCAAGGACTGTGCATTATGCGACTCAAGTAATGTTCAACCTATCGTGTGAAACTTTGAGGTGTATATAGTAACCTTAAATATGCTTGGGATTTAGGGTTTTGGAAGATTGAACTTTAAGTGGAAAATGCAAACTGGTAGTTTAGGCAATTTCTTCACAGATGAGACATCTATATTCTAATTCTGATTTAATTTAAGCCATCCATAGTTTCATTCAGAAGCAATAAGATATTCAAATAGTGAATATATTCAGAAAAGGTAACAAAGTTGCAGAATCTATGACTAATGAGGGATTCGGTATTTTTGAGAACTTTTTGCCCTTTAGCAATCCCCAAATAGAGTTAGAGAATTACGATTTAATGATGTAATTGGGATATGTTTCCCTCACTTAATCAAACAATAAATTTCTTCTTTTTTAAAAAAAAAAGAAGATAAATTCCAAATCAATATTTTACATTAAAGTAAAAATAATTAAGAAAAGCTTAAGTTGAGCAATAAAACCACAACAACGATATCTATTCTTAGGGGTTATTATTTTGTTTTCTAGCTTTTCATTGTATTTTAACAATAAACTTCAAAAAATTTTATTTTTAGGGGTAAGCAATAAAATTGCATAATTTTTTTAAAAAATAAAAGCACAACAAATACACTTAATTTAAAATCAATTAAAATAAATTTAAAATAAAGTTTTATGTATAATTTAATAAAAATAAATTAAAAAATTAAAATTAACTCATAAACATAATTTAAAATTTAAAATCATATTTAGAATAATTAATAAATTTTAAAAAAATATTACATTAATTATAAATAATTTATAAACACAAAATTAATATATAAATTTAAAAATTATTATTTATAATTAAGTTCAAACAATAGATATCTTAAAATCATTATCAAAATCCTACCTGAATAATTTATAATGAATAATTAATTTATTACTTCAAAGCCATGAAACTATATGTTAATTTTATTTAATGGAATAAAGAAAAACAGGATTACAAGTTACGCCATCTCTAACATCCTTGTTTTTCCCCTAGCCCTTGGCAGGCCGCCATGGAATTCACATTCAGTTTGGGCATCAAAGTGCCAAAATTTGCAAAATTGATGCCTGGGAGAGGAGAGAATCTGACGTCCATCAATTATGGCAACCCCCATGGCCCATGCAAGATCCAGCCCTTTTAGGTGTCTAAACGCCGAATCCAACGTACACAGCTAGTGCCTGGTCCGGCATTGCCATTTTCAGTGTGAAAAAGTGCTGGATCCAGGATCAACTTGCCAAATTCAAATGCCTGGAGTATTCTGCCATGCTTAGCTTTCGGTGAAAAAAGGAATTCGGATTATCAACATTTACTACTCTTATATATATATATATATATATATTTAAAGTTTACCTTGAAAAGAGGTTCACAAGGTGTGAAAATAAGAATTACATGGCATAATCTTTAGCCCTTTTATACTTTGAGTATGGTAAAACAGTTGTTGCATTAACATCATCAATGGAAAACGAAATTGTATGTTTAGGAAGTCACTCCCTAGAAAAAGAAGAGGATGGTGTTGGAAGTTGCTATATCCAAAGGAGGTTATCACATCTCAGCTGGTTAATATTCCTCCCAAGAACAGTAAGAATTTCGTTCATCCTTTTCTTTCTCAACAAGTACAATACTCAAAGATTGAACCAATGAAATGGGGAAGCAAAACCAAAGAAAACAAACAATGATAAACAAGAAAAGTGACTTCTTTAAAGGTAGGCCCACAATTTTATGTCCTTTCCTGTGTACATTTTCTCCAATAGATTCCTATCCCCTCCGAACGGTTCTTCACCCAATGTAGCCGTTAGAGTGACTTTTCTTCGCTTTGCTCTTTCAACTACGATAAAAAGTCTCAGCCTTTCTTTGCTTTCATCAAACAACGCAAACTATTACACCATCATTAAGCTTTCTGTTCACAACACTCATTTCCTATTCTCAAGTACAGCTTTCAATGGCTAAAGTAGCAGCTCTCTCTCTCTTGCTCCTGCTCTTGTCCTTCACTTCAGGTAGTTATCTTCTCCCAGGTTTCAGTATACATCACAAAGTACAACTAAAAAAGTATTTTTTTTCGACTTTCACAGTTTCACTTCTCTGTACTTTGCTTTGGGTCTTTTTCCTGCATTGTTTTCATGAATGTAGTTGAATTTTATCTGGGTTTTTTCTACGTTAATGGTTGCTTATGTTTTTGCTTCAGTATTAAGCTGACTTGGGTTTCTAATAAGTAGACTAATTAACAGGAAAGGCTAGACTTTTTGCAGTTTTAGCAGGTTTTAACTGATTTGGTTCCTTGATTTTGCTTTACTGTGCTCTAACCTTTTACAATTTAGTTTTACTTGACCAGATCTCGGTTGGGTTTCGTGAATATGAATAGCTAGTTTTATGACTCTAACTACCTTCCAATTTCTTTTGCTTCTCATCCTTTTTTAGGAGGAACTTTGATGATGGTAAATGGCCAGGTAACATCAACTTCTTAGACATTGTGAACTCAAAATTAAGGTTAAAAAACCAAATGGCTTTTTTTCTACTTATTGATTATAAAATGGTTTAAATGGAAATGGCGCAGAAATCTTGGTGTGTGGCTAAGCCATCATCAGACCAGGCAACACTTCTGGCAAACATTAACTACGCATGCTCTCAAGTGGATTGCCGAGTTCTGCGAAGGGGTTGTCCTTGCTTCACTCCTGATAATCTGATGAACCATGCTTCTATTGCCATGAATCTTTACTACCAAGCCAAGGGAAGAAACAGGTGGAATTGTGATTTCAGAAGCTCTGGTCTTGTTGTCATCACTGATCCAAGTAAGTCACATTTCAGTGCAACATAGAATGATTAATGACCATAACTGAGTGAATGACAATCCATTTGTGACTAAGGACATTGATTTTGCTTATGTTCCTTAGTAATACTTTCCAATGCACTGCACTTATTTTATTAAATGTCACTTGTTATGATTTATGTGACCCTATAAATTAGAAACACTATGAACTCTAAAGTGAAGACAATTCAAATCCTTCATTGTCAGTTAGAAAAATGCAATATGGATTCAGTTTCTTTATTAAATTAACTAGTTGTTTGGTTTTGAACTCAAAACTGAGATCTCAAGGAAACTCCAAAGAGTGTAAAGAATCATTAATCTTGAAGTTATCTACAAAACTGAACCATTTGATATGTCAGACAGTGTCAAACAGGAAAATGGAAACCCATGCCTTAAATGATGGATCTAGAATGTTGTTATTGTTTTCTGCTTTAACTTTACTTCTTTTATTATTGTATTCAGTGATCTTGTCATGTGATGAGAAAATGTGCTAAAATCTATGTTGTTTTGGTGTCTGTGCAGGTTATGCCAACTGCATTTACGAGTAGCTAGCTACCACTGGATTGGTTTAAGCAACTTAATGTTTCCTCTGGAAAAGGAACTCTTGTAACTCAATGGAACTTTTATTTTTGACTCTCCCGTAAATCTGGTTGATTATAGCTTCTGCTATTAAATGATGGTGAAGAAAAGTGAAAAAGATCTAGTTTAATTCTTCTTAATTAATTAATTACTCTCTTGGGAAATTAAGGTTAGCTGAGAAGATGCTATCCACTTCTAATCTTTACAACCCAGCTTGGAAGCCTTTACAGGGAATCAGATAGTACTCCTTAATCTTTAAGTCTTTAATTATTACCCTTTTGCTTTTCTTTTCTTGCTTTTTTTTCCCTGATGATTCTTTCTTTTATTTAACTTTAGGGGGTCTTTATAGGAAAAACATTCTAACTAATCAGAGAATCTGCAAGATACAAATCAGATCTTGATATGGGAAAATACATAGATATATCAAAAAGGAACCTTTTCCCTAGAGGCCATAGTGTCCCAAAATTATCATGCCAATCAAACTTGGTATCTGTCTTCCCAAGACTATGTAATAACATGTGCATGAGAAGAATCAGTAGGGCTACCAATAAAAATTGGCCTGCCCCTACTTTGTGTCTATTTTACATTCTTTATATAATTTTATGTCACATGTTCGGTAAATTTTTGTTCATTAATGTTAATTTGAGTGCCGGTAAATGTTATTGTTTCTACCGCTATTAGATATTAACATAATGGTTCTAGGTAAAAAAAAAAAAAGAAAGCCAAGAAGCTGGATGACTTTGGCTCTAGGTAAATCTTATATAAGATGCTGAAAATTTTTTGAGGGATTAAAAGGTTACAAATATTTTTTATCTTTAGTTTTTTATCTTCTTATTAATTTCACTGATATTAAGATATTAAGACAAGGCCTATCGAGTATCCATTACAATCAAGACCTCAAATGTCAAAAAGGTTCATTTTTATTGCTAAAAATAGTTATCTACATCTACTTATTGGTGAAGATCTACATATACTTTGACTATATTTATGATCTCATGATTCTATCTTTGAGAACCGACATAACAGCTCTAACCCAAATCTAAGACACATGGACTGGAAGAAAAAAGTATAGCAGGAAAAAAAATTGAGGAAAATTCTATCTATTTTTCGGTTTAATAATGGTCTACATCAATGTGTGTGGGACCTTACCCTACATATGCAACCAGTGATTATTATTGTATTGAGGAAAAAATAATGTATATTGTCAAATATTCAAGAGAAGCCTTATAGTAAAAGGATTCATAAGTGTTGCTCAAGAAACAAGAGGGTATTCACCTTAAAAAGAGAAATCCAATTATATGTTCTAATTTTCAACCCTTCACACTTGCATGGTGCTACCCTAAAGAAAAGGGGATCATTGTTGTTTAGCTGATATTTATTTGAGTAGTTTAGTTACTAGGTTAATGTATTTTCAGCCAAATTTTGCATATAAGTCCTTTGCTCTCATCTTTATTGTAATACTCTAACGCCATTGCTATATGGGCTATGGGTAGTACAGATAATTGGCACCCTAGTGCCCCTTTGCTTGATCCGGTGTGTGGGATTGTGTTTTACTGATCAAACCTTCCTTTACATTAACACTTTACACATAATTCAGTGGGTTCTATCAAGATCTTAATATGCTGATTGCCAAATTCGGATGGGGGGAAGGTTCTGATCTTAAAAGAAGACTTTGGTTATATGTTGGAACGTTCTGTATTTGTCAAAGAAAGATGGTGACCTTGGCAAAGCAATGTTGCCGTTTGGTGCATCATACAGATACTATATGTCAGGTATAAGGTTTAGATATCCCGTTAACGGGTTATATAATTCTTCTCCGGTTTTGGATAAGTCTATTGGAAGGGAGAAGTGTTCCGTTAATGGAGGGCTGTCAATGTGCATTTGTGGTGCGAGAGATCCTAACCCTGCATGAATTCCATCATATGGTGCTTTATTCAACCTCGGGCTCTTCATATGAACTTCTTATATTATTGAGTCCACAGTCCTGCGAGAGTGGGTGGCATGGCATGTCTTCAACCCAATGATTGTCAATGGACCCCTAATCGGTATTGGTCCAAGGTCGATTTCTGGCTTTGGGAGGTGCATTTGTGCTGCTGTCCCAACTAATTTTGTGGGCTGCGCATGTCACAATTTTGCGGACCATGACAACCCCCACAATTTTAAAATTTTTCTAACATATTTTTTATTTTTTTTTTGTAATTTTATAAGTTTGCCTCTACAATAATTTTTAGTTTGGTGAGATGCCCTACAAAAATTGATCAACAATTAATTTTAATACTCACTCTTATAGGAATTGGGTTCCAAATTTAATGAGAATGTGGTGAAATTGCTCACTTTTGACATATTTTTGGACCCTCAAAATGATTTCAAATCGTTTGATGTTGAAAGTATATGCAATCTAACAAATAAATATTACCTTGATGACTTTACTGGGCATGATAAAATGCATCTAAACTATCAATTAAAACTATTTAAGCTTGACATCTATGTTAAGTGTTGAAGAAGACAAGAATGGAAAAAATTTGTGTCCTCATTGATAGATTGTTCTGACTTGTCTTGACTCTTCTACTTTCCATTGTAACATTATAAACTGCTTTTTTTTGTTATGAAACTTGTTAAGAACAAGACTAATAATAAAATCTTAAATGATTTAGTTAAAAAGTTGTTGATTAATTTTTTTAAAAGGAAATCATTCAAAACTTTAACATTGATTTAATAATAGATGCCTTTAACTCTATAAAAAACTATTGCACTCAATTAAAAATTCTCAATCTTAGCATGTAATAGTTGTTTAAATACACTTTTATTTTCCATCTAGGTTACTTTATATTTTTGTCAAACATTGAACTTCTAATATAATTGTTTTGCAAACATTGTAGTTGCCCCTCTAATCGCGAAATCCTAGCTCCGCCATTGGATTGGACTCTTATGATATAACACCGTCGTACTACAGTAGCAAGCTACGATAAACTAGACTTCAATGCTAATTCTACAATGATATATATGTGGTGGTCAATAATTAATTCCATACATTTTTTAATATAAAAGATTAACAACTATAAAACATATGACTCATGTCATTGTTTATTTAGTGTGAACAACAAAGTTGTTCACAGTTGCCAATCTTTTCCATCAAAAAATGTATGGAATTGATTATCGAGCACCCCATATATATCACTGCAAAATTAATATTGAAGTTTGGTTTATCGTGGCTTGTTACTGTAGTACGACAGTGTTATATCATAAGAGTCCAATCCAACGGTGGAGCCAAGATTTCTTGTTTAGAGGGACAAATACAATGTCTATAAAACAGTTATATTAAAAGTTCAATGTTTGACAAAAAAATATAAAGTAACTTAGATGGAAAATAAAGATATTTTTTAACAACTACTACATGCTAAGCTTCAGCATTTAATTGAGCTCTACGGTTTTTCATAAAGTTGAAGGCATCTATCATTAAATCAATGTTAAAACCTTAAATGATTTCCTTTTTAATGAGAATGATCAACAAATTTCTAAAAAAATCATCTGACATTCTATTACGAGTCTCGTTCTTAACGAGTTTCATAGCAAAAAATGCACATTATAATATTGCAGTGAAAACTAGAAGAGTCAAGATAAGTTAGATCAATCTATCAACAAGGAAGTAAATTTTTTCTATTCCTGTCTTCTTCAACACTTAACATAGCTCAAAAAGTGTAATTCATTTTCTGAAGCCTGATTATGAATAATGTCAAGCTTAAATAGTTCCAATTCATAGCTTTTGTGCATTTTATCATGCTTAATAAAGTCATCAATGTAATATTTATTTGTTAAGTTGCATATACTTTCAACATCAAAAGATTTAAAATCATTATGAGGATCCAAAAATATGCTAAAATAATTTAAACTGATTAACCATGAAATCAGTCCACCATAGATTCATGGTTGCACTCTTGAATTA